GGTGGGGGAAGAAGAGATGAGAAGCAACAGGGGGCAGGGGTCAAGGGGATCTAGGTACAAAGGTGGTGTTAAGGAATACAGAGCCCAATGTCCAAACCACAAAGTCAACAACACTGAAGTCAGGAGAGGAGAAGGAACGAAGGATACCTTAGAAAGGTGCCCGTCAAGAGGGCAGGCAGGGGAGCGGAGGAGGGGAATGGGAGAGAACCTGGAACACTGAAGGAGGGAAACTGGCACTGGTGGTGGGACCCATGCTGAAACATTGTAAAACAGTTTTATTCATTACTCATTTACTCATTTAAAACTATGAGTAACTTTGTAAATCATGGTATTTTAGTTAAAAAAAAATTTTTTTTTAAAGAAACAAAAGAAAGAAAACAATGACTCCTTCTCCAGGGTATGGCTCAGTGGCAAAAAAAAAAAAAAAGCAAGCAGCTGCCTGGCAGGCCTGTGCTCCATCCCCAAGACTGACCACAGGGGCCAGCAGTTGGCCCTTTAGCCACAATGGTGTGGGAACTCACCCGCCCCAGCAGCAACAAGGGAGGGAAAAGGAAGTATGTCACCCAGGGTCTTCTCTTCCAGCACAGAACACACACTTCATGGAGGTGCACACTTGGCAGAGGCATGTCCAAGACCCACAAAATTCACCTTTAAAGTAAGAAGCCCCAGGGGCTGGAGAGATAGCACAGCGGGTAGGGCGTTTGCCTTGCACACAGCCAACCCGGGTTCGATTTCCAGCATCCCATATGGTCCCCCAAGCATGGCCAGGAGTAATTCCTGAGTGCATGAAACAGGAGTAACACCTGTGCATCGCCAGGTGTGACCCAAAAAGCAAAAAAATAAAAATAAAATAAAGTAAGAAGCCCCAGCGCTGGAGCAACACTGCATCAGGCAAGGTGCTTGCCTTTAGCACAGGCAACCCAGGTTCTATCCCCAGCATCCCATATGATCCCCCCAAGCACTGCCAGGTGTAATTCCCAAGTGTAACCCCTGAGCATCATGGAGTGTGACACCCTCCCCCCCCAAAAAAATCACAAGTTACATCTGGAGGCCAGGGAGCTGCCCCAAGGGCTGGCGCACATCCTGCATGCACAAGGCCCACGTCCCATCCCCCACAAGGCATGACCCCTCACCCCAAGTCCTAGAGCAGGCCCTGCCTCCTTGGGACCACAGCACCACACTCAGTGTAACCAGTAGTGCCCCCCTCCCATCTCTCTGCAGACACATTCTAAGGCGAAATGCATATAACCGGCTCCACCTCCAAATGACCCAGAGGACGCAGCCCCTATGGATGGTGGGTGAGGCCTACTTGAACATTCCAGACTCTGGGGGCCCCAAGAGCCCGACCTGTGCTTAGTGCAGCCTGAGCACCGCTATCACCAGTGACCCCCAGAACTGGAAGACTCCAGCCACACTCGACAGGTGTGTGTACAAGCACCTCTTCAAACACCATGGAGAACCCAAGCCTCCATCAGAGGGGCGCCTGAGCAAGCCCAACTCAGAGGGGGGCATCTGCTAGCACGCATCAAAGCACCAAGGGACCTCCCCGCCTACCCGCCCCCATCACTGCAGCAACCACAAGGAGAAAGAAGAATGAAAGTTCACTGACAAATCAAAAGATTCCAAACTTACAAAGCACACCTGAGAGAGTGTTACCGTCCAGGTGAGCTGCAGTGGGGGAGAGGCAATGTCTCAGGACAGCTCCAGACTGCATGCAGCACCCAGTCCCAAGATCTCCTGCAGCCTTCCGGGCCCCTGGTTGAGACCTCCAGCACTAGAGGTCAGCGGTGACAGCCCGGGTCATCACTCACAGTCCTCACTCCCAGGAAAGTGGGTCATAGCCCACCACCAGGACACAACAAAGGGCCTTCGGGTGTCCAACTTCAGGAACCCGTTTATTTCATTTACTTGAACTCCAACGGAGTGCGATTTTTACAGCTCTCAGCCAATCCGTTCTGACGAGTACCTTTCCGACCCACAGAATCAAGTCTGACTGCCTGTGGAGGGTGCGGGGGAGGGCATCACAAGAAGCTAGTCCAAAGCTGCCTGTGGAAGGCCTGGGTTTCATGCCCAGCACCTCTGGGCGTAACCCGAAGAACAAAAATGAAGTCAGGGTGTGGGGGCAGGGCTGTGTCTCTAGGAGTAAAGCACACGCTGCGCACGCACGAGGCCCCGGGTTGGCTCCACACCACAGGCCACCCTGCCGCAGCGCCACCACACACCCCCACTCCCTTCCCTCCCCGAAAAACAAAGGACAGCTGATGTGAACTCTGGCGCAGTGGTTTTCTTTGGCTTTCTTGTCATCGACTGAACGTACTGATTCTACAATGAAAAGCTCAATGAACATTTGACTCTGGGGAAGAAGATGACCACCGACACTCAAGATCAAGCTGGTTTCCTGCATGACACTCCCCGACCAGAGCGTCTGACAATATGGGAAACACGATACCGAGTGCTTGTCTGGGAAGCACATCACCCCTTTACTCCTCAGATACAATACTAGAAGTTAGCACACGACATGCTGAAGGTGTGATTTTTGTCTGACCTGTAGGCCACACCTGGCAGTGCTCAGAACTTACTCCTGCAGCCCCTAAGGATGTTCTTCGCTTTGCCATAATAAAAATTTAAGTAAAAAATATCTGGGGGGCTGGAGCGATAGCACAGCGGTTAGGGCGTTTGCCTTGCATGCCGCCGACCCGGGTTCGATCCCCAGCATCCCATATGGTCCCCCGAGCACCGCCAGGGGTGATTCCTGAGTGCAGAGCCAGGAGTAACCCCTGTGCATTGCCGGGTGTGACCCAAACAGAAAAAAAAAATCTGAAAAGCTGCCACTCAATCTGTATATAAGTGTGATTTACATGTGAGTGGCTCCAACAGTGACAGCCTAGGTAGGAGAGCAGGTGAGCTGCCGTGGGGTACAGAGGTCCATGCCTTTGCATCCTGCCTAAGGCTTTACTTCCTGAAACTCTGAAAGTCCATGCCCTACTACAGAGGGTGTCGCTACTTCCTCAAAGTTCAAGGAAGTACGTGGGTGGAGCCTGACTCTCTGGCGCGAGATCTGCCCAATTATTAACCTGTGATCTGAACAAGAGCATTTTTAAATCAAAAGGGCACATCAGAAGCACGAAGAAAGGACCACAAGGAGGAAGCCAGCCACAAACAGGAGTGGACACAGCTGGACGAGGAGCAGACCCGAGGACACCTGCAAGAGCAGACTGTGCCCCTGACCCCAGCCCTGCGGACAGCTCAAGCTCACGCCTGACGCTGATCAGCAAACCACGTGACGAGTGGGGAGACACAGCTCCCCACGAATGTCCTCCACAGGGGAAACCTCAAATGCACAGCTTCATTCTGCAGCAAGTTAGTTAACCATCCAGGTGGTAGACTACCTGTAGGCAGGGGGAGCAGGGCAGCAGAAGGCATTCTACCCAGTGAGAGATGGTGACATCATCACCGACCCTGGGCACTGCAGCTGGCCGGGCTCCTCCAGAGGTCAGTGTGGGCATGAAGGAAAATGAGCTCAACTGGTACAGCCATTCTGGAAGACACCATGGCGCTTCCTACAGAATGAAAGCAAGAGCTGCCACAGGAGCCAGAGGCTCCGCTTTTGAAACGCTACAAAGGGAAAAGCACGGGAGTAAGGAGTGTAGAAGGGAACACGCCATGCCGGCTCTCCAACGGGCTCCATCCCTGGCACCACGTGGCCTCCTAGTCATCAGCACGTGTTGTGGGCCTGCTGTATGTGGGCCTGGTGGTCCCAGCACTACAGGACACGGCAGCAGCACAACTTCAGGAGCCCAGACAGTTTGTCCAATATTCTGGGAAGTGACCCCAGGATTCCCCAAACATCAATGGTGTGACACACAACCCAACCCCACCCCCACGAATACAAAAACATTAACTCAGAGCTAGGTCTACGCCATGTTCATGTTCACTGCAGTGTTAATTACAGTCATTAAAATATGAAAGCAGGGCACTGGTATATCTAGCTTGGATACAGCTGACTCTGGTTCAACCCAATATGGTTCCCCAAGCATCGACTACCCAGGGTGATGTCTGAGCACAGGCAGGTGTGACGCAAAAACCAAGTATCTACAAGTACGTATATGTGAATGAAAGAAGCCTAAGTACCTAGCAGTAAACTATGGGATACAGGGTGGGCCCTATGTAAGAGAGAATGCTACTCAGTTACAAAAAATAGGTGAGGTTCTGCCATTTACAGCAAAATAGAAGCTCAAAGGGATGAAGGAAAAATATGGCTGATTTCACCAACCTTCAAAGGATATAAAATTGAGACAAAAAACCACTGACTGGGGAATCAAGAAAAGTTATCAGAAGAGGTGAGGACATAAGTTATTGAAGGTAGAGTGGGGGGAAAAGGGAGTAGATTTGTGAAAGACAAAACTAAAGGGATAGCACTGCAGTAGGGCGTGTGCCTTGCACGCGGCCGACCCAGGTTTGATTCCCAGCATCCCATAGGGTCCCCTGAGCACTGCCAGGAGTAATTCCTGAGTGTAGAGCCAGGAGTAACCCCTGTGCATTGCTGGGTGTGAACCAAAAAGGAAAAAACAAAAAACAAAACTAAAGGGCGGGGAAACACAAGACTTCTTCCGTCCATGGCCAAGTTTGACGATACCCGCATTGCATGTCCCTCAACCCCCACCACTGAGCGAGTCCAGGTGACCTCCAGCAAGGTTAGGTCAGCATAACACCATGTCCCTGGGCCCCAGCATTGAACTGTCCATCCCGCCAGGACGAGCATCGCCGAGAGTGATTCCTGAGTCCCCGGATCACTGTTGGGGGAGCTCCAAAATTTTTTGAGGAAAAACAGAAAACTAGACATCCTCCCAGCTTCCCCGGCTCCAAGTCTCTGGCCACATCTCTGCTCCCACCTGTGGTGAATGAAGGGGACCCCATCTTTGGAGCCTCGAAGGACACTAGCAGACCAAGTGGGCTGATCATAGGATGCGGCTCCTCTGGACCCCAGCTGAGGCGCTTACCTCTGCGGGGGAATGTAAGGGGCGCACACGGGCGGTAAGGCTGCACAGGGCTCGCTCAGCGTCTTCTTAGCCTTCTTCGCTTTCTTCCGGACCTTGGAAGTGGACCTAACCGTTTTAACCGAACTGTCCTTCCGACAGACACCGTTTTTCATCTCCACATCCCCATAAATGTTCAGTGGTCTCCGGGTGCAGCCCGGGGGCGTGTGGACATCACAGTATGCGGTCTTTCGGACGGAGAAGGTGGTGGCGCCGCCCGTCAGCTCTTTGACGGGCTCCATCTTCATGTAGAGCCCGGCCCTCTGGGCACAGGTCACATGGAAGGCCGTGTAGCAGTTGGCCTTGTGGCACTGGATGCAGGCACCCACCCCCTTCTGCTTACAGAGGTAGCACGTCAGTTTCCAGCGGGCCGGCGGGATGTTCCTCACGCCGTCAATGGGCTCAATGAACACTGTGTTGGCGAAGCCAACCTCGGGGATCCACAGGGCACACACCACATGGCCCCAACGATCGTCGTCCGTCTTTTTGAAGGCACCTCCCTTGTTGGGGCACAGCACACAGTCAGCGGGCCGGGCCCGGGACTGCAGACAGTGCCGGCACAGCCACTGGCCCTCAGGGATGTAGGGGACCCCGTAGCACTCCTGGTGCACGGCCAGGTTGCACATGTCACAGAAGAGGATGACGTTGCTGTTCTGGCACTCGCCGTCCATGCAGATGCAGCACACGGCGTCCTCGTCGATGAGGGACTGCTGCTCGCCCTGCTTCTGGTTCTCACAGTAGGACTCCTTCTCGAAGCGGTCCATCAGGAACTCGAACACGCTCTGCGACACGGCCGACACGCAGTCCCCTTTGCGCTTCTCGTTGATGATCTCCAGCCAGGCGTAGTCCTCCTCATCCATGTCATACTCCACCTCGTGGTCCAGCTCCTCGGCCGACTTCTCGATGAACTTGTAGTACACCGGGGGCCGGCGGGGAGCCGACGGCGGGCTGTACTCCACAATGCGCACCTTGGGCTCGGGGAGCGCGCTGGCCGAGGCCGGCGTGCCATGGGCGTTGGGAAGGGTCTCGCTTTTCTTTTTGACTCTGTTATTTTTGTGACGCTTAGTTCTTAAGCACACAGGTGGCCTCTCACTATTTTCTTTATTGCTGTTGCATTCGCTCATTTCTTGAGCAGTGAGGTCATCTTCTAATATGATCTCCAAGGGATCAAAAATACTGATCCGATGCAGACGCCCTTCAATTTCTATCTCAACCATCCTCTGGGCTTGCGCGTACGTTAGTGTTTCTCGTGTGGGGGAGTGTTTAATACTGCACGGGGAGGAAGGATGCCTCGGTGCAGCGCCTCGATGACATCGTCCTTTCCTCCTCATTTGGTAATGATTACCTACAACAGAAACCCAAGATGGTTACTGCCAGGCTGTGACAGAGGCTCGCGAAAGTCCACCCAGTATGCCCGGGAGAGCTCACAGACCCAACACCGGGTCAGCGGAATGCAGTCCTGGATGCCACGTGCCCAAAGTCACGCTGCTGTCCAGCCCCTCGACAGCTTACCCACCCCCAAGCCCTTCCCCAATGACTCCCAAGACCAACAGAGGAAAGGGCAGCAGGAGGGCGCCAACAGGGACACGTCCCCCTAGAACATGGTGAGGCCCACCCCATGCCGGCGGATGGGTCACCAGATGACCACAACATCCCCCTACTAAGTCACTCTCCCACCCAAGTCCTGGAAGCCTGTACTCAGGACTTCCAGGACCCTCAGAGGTGACACCCCTAGCCATAACCCCAACCACCTCTCCCTTCCCCGAGTGCAGCTCCCCTGCCTGCTAGCCACCGGACCATGCCCAGGGTGGGGCACAGGCACCCCTAGCAGATGCAGCGAGCCAGCAGGGCTGCGTCCCCCGGAGATCTGGGAAGAACCTGCTCTCACACACTGATCCCCAGGCCCCACAGCACCGGAGCACTGCAGGGGGAGTGGCTACTCCAAAAAGAGAAGAATTCCCTCCGACCTGGGCCATCTGAGTTCCCAGGTCCATCTGCAACCGCCCACGCAGGTGGAGTCTGGACCAGAGTTTCTCAATGGGTGCGGAAGACCCCTCAATCCCATGGGTATACATGGAGGGCGATGGCACAAGGCTAGAGGGTCCAACAATCGAGGCACAGAAGGGAACACGGTGGGAAAGGGCCTGAGGACCAAGTCTCCCCACGCCACCTGCCGGGGGAGGGGGGCGGGTCCCTGGGAAGGGATGGTCAGGACCTGGGGGACCAAAGCCGGCAAGCACGGGGGGCTTCTGGGACAGGGACTGCGGGAACCTGTGGGAGAACGCCCCGAGGAAGGAGACAGACCCTCGCGGGGCCTTCCCTCGGCCAACGAGGCCCGCGGGGGTGGCTCGGGGCCGCGAACCGGCCTCACCGGGCCGGCCTGAACTGCGAGCGCTTCCCCGGCACCTCCCCGACCGCCCGGCCCGACCGCCCGGCCGGCCTCCCGGGGACGCAGGGCGCTCCCACGCCCAGAGGAACAACCGCCGCGAGGAACGGCCGTCCGCCCCTCGCCCGCTGCCGGGCAAGAAGTGCCAGCGTCGGACCCACACCCCGAGAGGCCCGGGGCGGCCGCGCTGTCACGGGCACGGACCCTTGTGACAGCCCGGGAGCGCTCGGGGGCTGGGGGCTCGGGTGCGGGCGGCTGGGAGTCACTCCCCGACCGACTCCGACTCCGACTCCGGGGCGCCTGGCGGGGCGTGCGTGGAGGGGCGTGGAGGGGTGTGGCTGCCGGCGGCGGCCTCGGCGTCCCCCCGCGGGGCCCTCGGCGCTCCTCACAGCGCGCCCCTCGCGCCCCTCCGGCCCCTCCGGCCCCGCGCGGCCTTCGCTCCCCTCAGGCGCCTCAGGCCCCTCAGGCCCCCGCATCCCTCACCCTCGCGGCCTGCGCCCCTCACGCCCCTCACGCCTCAAGTCCCTCACGCCCCTCACGCCCGTCTCCCCTCACGCCCCTCAGGTCCCCCGCGCCCGCGCCCCTCACCCCCGCGCCCGCGGCCCGGCCCTTCCGGGGCGCCGCCCGCCCGCCCGCCCGCCCGACTCCGGCTCCGGCTCCGGCGCCCCCGGCCGGCGCTCCCGGCGCGCCGCCCGCACCTCAGCGAGCGGCCGGCCGGGCCCGGGCCCGGGTCCGGGTCCGAGTCCGAGCCCGAGCCCGAGCCCCGCCCGCCGCCGCCGCCCCGGCCCGGCCCGGCCCGCGCCGCCCGCCGCCCGCCGCCCGCCGCCCGCGCCGCCCCCGCCGGCCCCGCCGCCCCCGGCCCGCCGCCCGCGGACAATGCGCCGCAAACATGGCGGCGCGGCGCAGGCCCGGCGGCGGCCGCGGCGGAGGCGGCGGCGGCCCCGGCCCCGGCCCCGGCCCAGGCCCGCGCCCCCGCCCGCCGCCGCCGCCCGGGCCGCGCCCCCGCCCGCCGCCGCCCGCCCCTCACTCACCTCGGGGGCCGCGGCCCGGGGGCCGGGCGGCGGGCGGGGGCGGCGCGGCCGGGGGAAATGGCGCCGGGCTCCTCCGCCAACGGCCGCGGCCCGGCCGCCGCTCCAGGCGCGGGCGGTGCGGGCGCCGCGGGGCCGAGGCGGCGGCGGGCGGCGGGCGCGGGCGGCGGCGGGCGGCGGGCGCGGGCGGCGGCGGCGGGGACGCGGGCCGGCGGCCTCTCGCGCTCGCTCCCCGGCGAAGCAAACAATGCGGCGAGCGCTCCGCCCGGCGCGCTGCGTGCGAGACGCGCCCCGCCCGCCGCCGCCATGACGCGCCGGGGGAGGAGGAGGAGGGGGAGGGCGGGGGAGGGGGAGGGGCGGGAGGGGCGGGGGAGCCGGCGGGGGAGGGGCCCGGCCGCGTCAAGGGGGGGAGGCTGAGGCGGGCCGAGGAGGGAGAGCCGGCCGGGCCGAGGGGAAGACTGAGGGGGAGACTGAGGAGGGAGAGCCGGGCCGGGCTGAGGGGGAGGCTGAGGGGGAGACTGAGGAGGGAGAGCCGGGCCGGGCTGAGGGGGAGGCTGAGGGGGAGACTGAGGAGAGAGAGCCGGGCCGGACCGAGGGGAAGACTGAGGAGGGAGAGCCGGGCCGGGCTGAGGGGGAGACTGAGGCGGGAGACTGAGGAGGGAGAGCCGGGCCGGGCCGAGGGGGACGCTGAGGTGGGGAGGTTGAAGAGAGAGCCGGCCGGGCTGAGGGGAAGACTGAGGGCGAGACTGAGGAGGGAAACTGAGAAGGGAGAGCCGGGCCGGCCGAGGGGAAGACTGAGAAGGAGAGCCGGCAGGCAGAGGGGGAGACTGAGGGGGAGACTGAGGAGAGAGAGCCGGGCCGGGCTGAGGGGGAGGCTGAGGGGGAGACTGAGGAGGGAGACTGAGGAGGGACAGCCGGGCCGGGCCGAGGGGGACACTGAGGCGGGAGACTGAGGAGAGAGAGCCGGGCCGGGCCGAGGGGGACACTGAGGCGGGAGACTGAGGAGGGAGAGTGGGCCCGGCTGACGGGGAGACTGAGAAGGAGAGCCGGCAGGCAGAGGGGGAGACTGAGGCAGGGAAGCTGGAGGGAAGAGCAGCGCCAGGCTGAGGGGGAGACTGAGGCGGGGAGGCTCGAGGGAGCACAGGGCAGGGGCTAAAGGGAAAAGCTGGAGGGGAGGGGGAGGAGGAGAGGCTGAGCCGAAGCCGGTGAGAGGCACGAGGGCTGGGAAGTTCTGGCGCGCACGAGGGCGGTGGAGAGGTCAGCGGAGCCCCAGGCAGGTCCTCGGTCCCGGTCCCGAGGTCCAGACTGCAGCTGAGTGCCAGGCTCTGAAGGGTCGCGGTGGGATGAGTGGCACTTCGGGGAGGGGTACCGGGCGCAGCCAAGCCAAAGCCAGTTGGGCCTCCAGAGAGAGAAGAGGGACTAGAATCTGGACAGCAGTGCTGAGTCAGGAGCATGGACTCAGCCGCAGCTGGAATCTGGGGGTTTCCCGGGAGCACCAGGCTGGCAACAGGAATCCCCAACAACAGGGCGCGGGAAGCCGATGGTGCCCTGGACTCAGAATCAAGGACAAGCTGGGCTGGCGGGAATCATGGGAGCATTCGGGGAGGTACTAGAAGACCCTAGACCTGAGGGAGGTCTGGGGGAGCACAGTAGACAAGGGAAAAGAGCAGTGTCAGCATGGGGGGGGCAAGCAGCCTGCTTCTGAGGGGCACACCCCAGCTCAACAGCTTTCACAGGGACCAGGCCCGGCCATGCTTGGGGCCTTTCAGGTCCAGACTTGGTGGTGACAAGACATCAGTACAGCCAGCAGAGGCTGGTGGCCATGCAGCATGAGGGGCAAAAGCCAGGGTGTCAACAGGTACCAGACCCCCATCCCAGGCCTCTCAGTTTTTGTTTTGTGTTTTTTTTATTGGGGGTGGGGGGACTCAGGAGTTCAGTGTTCGGTGGACCATATGGTACCAGGGATCAAATCAGGGCCTCCCACATACGGTTACTGCTGACTAGACCCTCAATCCATGTCCTGGCCTAGGCCCCCTCTTTTCAGGTCCCGGAGAGGGTGGTTATGCCTATGAATGCTGACCGTGGACGGAGATAAAGAGGGAATGCCCAGACCAGCAGTACCTTCACAGCCACGGCCACTTGGGCTGTAAACTCCAGATGAGCAGCTTCCATCCACAGTTCCACAGTCCCGCCGCCGCCCGTGCCTGCTGGGAAGCAGGAAGAAGCCCAGAATGCTCCTCAGTTTCCCTGGAGGATCCCTAGTTGGTGCAGTCAAGGCACCTCTAGGTGGTGGGGAGTCCAGCCCCCAGGCAAGCAGCCCCTAAGGAAGAAAAAGGTACCATACACCTCCCTCAAGACCAAGTCTTCCCCTCTGAGGGGGCGAGACCTGCCTCCATGTGGGCAAGCAGGGTACGGAGCACCCCACCAAACAGCACATCAAAAGTGAAGTGGCCTGTCCAGCCAGTGTCATGGCTCTTCACTGGCCCTGCTCCAAGTGCACAGGTTGGAAAGTGAAGGCTTCGGGCTGGATGAAGACTACCTCCATGGTCACCCAGCAGCCAGTCTTGAGCCAGGCCCCTTCTCAAAGCTGGTGGCCACTCCGGATGTATCCTCGGACTCAGCACCAGGACCGGCCAGTATCCATTTGGTAGATGTCCTGGGACTGGAGACTGGCCCTGGGGAAGCAGCAGGCAAGCAGCACAGCTGAACGTGCACCCTTCCCCTCCGCCCTGAGCAAGCCAGATGTCCGCCAAACGGACAGTTCACAGTACACAGCGACAAAGGGAAATACACGAACCCCGCTCACATAACCAGACTGAGTGCAGGTGGCAAGTGAAGGAAAGGGACTCACCTGTGGACCTGTCCATCACATTCTGAGACTTGAAAGATAAGACTAGATGTGAAGACTTCAGAGAGGAAAATGCTCTTACTCAGAGAGAATCTGATCGCCAATTGGATAGCAGCAATTATCCAAATTCCAATGGCATCAAAATTTCTCCACATTCATGGTGAAACTAGCCTTCATGTGAGACAGCAAAATCGAAACGACTGCACAGCCTGTAAACACCCAAGTTACATATACAATCTTTCTAAAAACTTACTAAAAGATAATGCCCTGAGCTAGGGCTGAAGAAATAGTACAGCAGGCAGGGCGCTTGCCTGGCATGTTGTTAACCCAGGTTCAAATTTCCAGCAACCCTTATGATCCCCTGAGCCTACCAGCAGTGATCCCAGAGCGCAGAGCTCTGAGTTAGCCCTGAGCACTGCCGGGATCAACCAAGAGAAAAGCCCTAGTAAAACAGAAAGGTGAACCCCAAAATAAGGCATGGATGCCAGGAAGAAACCAGTTTGTACAGTTGAAAGACCGTGAAGGCGGGGCCGGGGAGCTAGTCAGAGGTGCACATGCCTGGCATGCGCAGGACCTGAGTTCCATCCCCAGCACTGCCCAGCCAGGCCTTCGTATTGAACAGTGTGGCCTGGCTGGCCGGGTATTGCCAGGAGTGATTCATGCCCTCTGTGCACTGCTTAGGCCCCCACAAAAAAAAAGAAAGAAAATGATATGACAGAAACCCCAGATGAACTCAGTGTGGCATATGACTAGGGTTGGCTGTGAAAAAGTTAAGGACCCCTAAAGCTCTCATATTATTAGAGAATTTTAGCATTGATAGAAAAAGTATTTGGAATGCAGAAATAAAAATTGGCCTAGGGGAGCTGAAACAATAGTACAGCAAGTAGGGTGCTTGCCTTGCACACAGCCAACCTAGGTTCAATCCCCCACACCCCAGGAGTGATTCCTGAGCACAAAGTCAGGAGAAACCACTGAGCATTGCCAGTGTGGCAAAAAAACAAACTATATATGGGCCAAGGGAAAGAGTAAAGGGCATAGGGCAAATGCTTGTGCCCTGACTCCAGCTCAACCACCAGCACCTCGTGGTACCCAAAGCGTTGCACCAGCACCACGTCCTCCAGCTGTCCCACTGAACTGATGGACTATAAGGGGCCCAGCCTCTGAGCACTGCTCAGGACCTCCGCCTCAGAAACCCCCCCCCCAACAATACATTATCAAAGTGGACACTCTTGGAAATAGGGATTGTAATTTTCAAAACAGCAGCAGGGTGAAGGGTGGAACTGAAATAAAAATTTTTAAAAAATACTGCCAACAAAAAGCAGAAAAGAAAAAGGTAAGCACATGATAAATGAAAAACATAATATGAGATGACAGGAATAAACTCAAATCTTCGAATAAACACAGATATGACTGAATCAAACTTGTCTATTAAAATAAAAACTGTCCAAGCAGAATACAAATGTTGTTAAATATCGTTTGCAAGAAATACAACAAAAAAGTCACGGAGAAATTGAAAATAAAAGGGGAAAAATATGTGCCCTGCAGCTTTTGTTTACCAAAAGACCATAAAGAGAATGACAAAATTTTTTGACAAGTTCTTCTCTGCCTTTGTTGTTTTGGGGTTTGGGGTTACAACTGGCTGTGCTCATGGCCTGCTCTGGCTCTGTGCTCAGGGATCACTCCTGGCAGTGCTCAGGGGACAGTCAAGATGCCAGGGATTGAACCTAGATTGGTGCATGCAAGGCTAGTGCCCTACCCACTGTGCTCTCTCCAGCCCAAGAATGACAAGCTTTGTGTTTGTTTGGCTACGCCTGGCCAGGGCTCAGTCCTGGCCGACTCATGCCCTACTCCTCCAGCCCCAAGCTATTAAAAAACTAAAAAGTTGGGACTGGAGAGCCAGTACAGAGGTGGGGGGCTTGCCTTGCTTGCGGCCCACTTGAGTTTGATCCCCAGAATCCCATATGGTCCTCAGAGCAGCACCAGGAATAATTTGTTTTAGGGTCCCCAGGCGTGACCCTAAAACAAATCAGCCTGCACTGTTTATTACCTAGGGGGTTCATATGGCTAACCCAAGCAGCACTGTTCCTAATGGGAAAGTCACTGCAGTTCATGGTCAACAGAAGGACCCCAGACACACAGGCTGCCTGAGCCCATGTGTTGCCTGCGTCCATGTGGCCGAGCACACGTGGTGCCTGAGCACATGTGTTGCCCACATCTCCTCTCTTGAAATGTGCACTTTCATGCTTTCATGTCTAGTGCTGGGATGTGCGGAGGGG